TATATATATATATGACTGTTGTAAGAATAAAGCTCACTCGCACGAGTCTCCGTTTTTTGCCTTCTTCCTCACGCCGTCACTGGGGCTCTACCCCCTCGCCTTGCTGGTCAAGGCCCCCCACAGTGCAGCAGACCTCTTCTGTCTCACCCACTGCTCCTCTCATCAGTGGATTACAGTAAATCTGCCTGTTCTGCTCCCCACTCTATCTCTGGTGAAGCGTCTCACTGCCCCTCCCAACACCTCTGGCCTACACCCCAGTTCTTGTATGCATAAATAATTTTTTTATTCTCATATAACAGTATTGTTTATCAAATCAAATTTCTTTCTCAGCTTACATCCATACTACTTATATCTTAGAGGAAATCCTCTATTACTAATTATCAATTAATATACTTAAGGAAGCATAGTGGCTGAGATTTGATTTCTAAAGTTTCCAAAAATATAACCATTATATAATGCATTTAAAACAGGTGAATATATAATATTAAGGGTTATATGTTTATATTGTCTTCTAAAACTATATTAAATATTTTAAGTCATCAAAGAAGCTTGATAACAGTCATTTTCCAAAGTGTTGATGTAAGCACAGACGGTCCAATTACAATTTTGGGAAAAAACACTAACAGATGATAGTTAAGCTAACCCTAGACAAGTTAGTAATAAACTACATGGTACATATATATTATATATATAAACATAAAATATATATAATAATTTTTATGTATTTTTTACTCTATAGTTTTACCTGTAAGAGTACGGCAGTGTGTTCATCAATTGTAACCACAACATAACGCTCTGTGCCGCCAAAGAGTTTCAACGACTCACTGCAGCATCTTTCCACTAGTGTGATATTATAGCTGCAAAATATGGTATTTTGGGGTGAAATAATCAAACAGCTGAAAAAATTCTTTTAGAGAAGTTGTACAGTCCTACTACATATTAGTTACTGTTTTTTCTTTAATAAATATCTTCTACATTGTACAGATATTTGAAGCCTGAAACTGATTTGTTTAGCACATATCACATAATAGTTGAGATGTTCGTTGCATTAGGTATTTTGCTAAGTATTACTGCACTTACTACTGTTACAAATATCTTGACCAATTTATTCAAGCTCTTTAATAGTACATGAAGTCAAACAGGGGACTAAACATTCTGCAATTATCAGAATTTTCTTTTTCCTTAAAACTGACATATATCGGGCTCTCCCTGGTGGCACAACGGGTTAAAGCACTGCATTATGAAGCTCTCCAAAGCCACTGCAGCACCAGTTCGATCCCGGGCCTGGGAGCTGACCCACGCAGACCTCTCCTGACCTGCCCACCACTCCTGTCAGCAGTGTACTTTGTCGATCTGCCTGTTCTGTTCCCCACTTTGTCTCTGGTGAATCCTCTCCTCACCCCACCTCTGGCCTGTATCCCAGTTCTGTAAGCATAAATAAATCTTTAAAAAAAAAAACAACTGACATATATCTTAACTATTTTTTAGAAGCTCAGTTTTCTGTGGAGTGCCTCCTAGCCTTAAGATGAAAACAAAGTGTGGAAAATACATAAGCTTTCTAACTAAAGCTACAGCACAATGACCCTTCTAAGACAAATAGCTGAATGTCTAACACTCTGTGACAACATATGCTATCATAAAGTGCTTTGAATTATTTAAAAATGCTGTGTTGACATGATAATCATCTGAAAATTTGAAAATTCATTTAGAACTTCACAGTCCTGTTTCTCTGTAGTATTTAAAATCCTATGAATAAGAATGCTCATTCTCAATATGATCACTGACTCAAAAATATGACCATATAATACAGAGAATAATCAGACTAAAATATTCACACTTGCTCACAACTAAAGACAAGTGACTAAAATATAAACTATTTTTCCCACACAGAAAGATAATATTCAGTAAGTGTGATGGTGTACTACAGGGAGACAAATATTAATTGATATAAACTGGAAAGTTACTCCTATGTGATGTAATTTCAGGCATAACCAAAAAAAAAATAGTGCCATATATAAAGTACATTTAGTCAACTATGATACATACACACAGAGGGATACTTTCACTAATAATTTGACATCAAATACTTACTTGGATTCTAGCAACTGAAGCATTTCTGGACTGTTAAGAAGTCCTTCAGATGCATAAAAGACATATGGAATCTGAATTTCCAAAGGAAAACCACCAAATCTATCTATGAAGGTGTTTCCTAAATAAAAGAAAATTTACAAACATTCTTTTCCCTTACTCTCCAGCAAAATATGACAATAATAGCTTTACAGTCAAGAGAGTAGTATAAAACTAATATTCACTGAAAATCAGAAATTGGAATGAAGGCATAAAGACTGAAATAAAAACATGTTATTTTACTACCTAGAAATAACAATCAACAGAATTTACTAAAATGACTATATACTAAAAACAGGCTTTAGTACATACATCCAGACTTTTTGTATATGTATGATTGCCTATACCAAATATATGTATGTTCACTTAATGAAAATAAAAAATAGGATCATATTCTATTGGAATGTTAGAATATGCTTTATTCAATTACTCAACAATCAAAAAAGATAAACACATGCCTTTTGCAGCAACATGGATGGAGCCGGAAGGGATCATGCTTAGTGACATAAGTGAAATAAGCCAGAAAGAAAAGGAAAAATACCAGATGGTTTCACTCATAGCAGAAGTATAATAAATGATCAGGGGAGAAAATAATAATAATGAACAACTATATACCAGAGACATTTTATGGGGGTTGAATGGGGAATGGGATCAAAAATGGGGGGGGGCAGGAATGGGTAGTGCACTGGACTGTGGGTGATGGCACACAGGTGCTTTGGTGATGGGAAGCCCACAGGGATTACAACTGAGATGGAAAAAGGCACAAATGATGTAAAAATAAGTTATTATATTATTAAAAAATGCTTTATTCACACACATACACCTTTATATGTGAAGTTTGTTGTCCCCCATTGTGCTGATTTACAGCAGCACAATGGGGGAGGAACCTCAATAGATAAATGGACAAAGGATATAAACAGGCAATTTACAAAAGAATGGCTACATAAGATTCACTCACACATGAAAGGATAGCAATAAAGAAACATACATTAGCACAACTATAAAATCTTCTCTGCCTGTAATTCTATCACAGATTTAAAAAAGATTAATAATACCTACTTATAGTAAAGATACAATGGAAAACCTTCTCTCAAATTTTCTGTATAAATATAAATTGGCATAACATTTCTGGAAGGCCACTAAACTAAATATAAATGTGCATACACCTCTGACCCAACAATTCATTTTACCTCTTGGAATTTTTCTTCTTAGAAAAAACATATAAAAACATTTAAGATCTATAAATTACAATTTTTTTTATAGTATAATAGTGGGAAGATGATGCACAAGGAAGTGGTTCAATCAATTAAGTTCACCTATAAGAGAATGGAAAAAGCCCTCTATCAACTAGTAAAGGTGTCATTCTTTCTTGGGTTCATATTTCAATTATTTAACAAATTTAACATTTAATTCTACCATCAAAGATTCTGAAGCAGGGCCCTCTCTGGTGTTGCAACAGATGAAAGCACAGCATTATGAAGCTAGCCATGGCCACTGCAGCACAAGTTTGATCCCTGGACAGGGAGCTGACCCACATTGTGTGGCAACCTCTCCTTAACCACCCACTGCTCCCCTCAGCAGTCTATTTCAGTAGATCTACCTGTTGGGCTCCCCACTGTCTCTGGTAAATCCTCTCACACCCTGCAACTCTGGCCTGTACTCCAGTTCTTATATGCATAAATAAATCTAAAAAAAAAATTCTAAAGCAATAATTATGGTGACTGTATTTTCAGAATTGAGATATCTCAGAATTCTGACTTCCTGCTCATATTTAAGGTGCACAGAAAGTAACCTATACCAATAATGAGAGATGCACTGGGACTAAAATTGTACTGTCTGAGCTTCTCAATTTAATTGGTCTAAGAATAAGAACCTTCTTCTGTTATGTGAACAGAAACCCCAAACTGAAAAACAAAGAAATCAAATGACAGGAAAATGGTTTTAGATTTATTTCTAAATAATAAATATATATATATATATGTATATACTTATATATATATGTTTGTATATACTTATATACATATATATATTTGTATATAATTTTTGTTACATATTAACATTTTTCTACACCAGCCAATATACTGTTACATAACTCCCCCATACTTCAACAATAAATGTTTGCATTGAAGTATCAAATTAAAATTAGACATCATTGTAATCAAATTGTGTTCCATAAAGTTCAGAAGTCAGGGCCTCCCTGGCAGCACAAGGGGTGGTGCAAGGCTTTCTGCAGCCAGTGTGGCCTGACCTCAACCCCCAGCCAGGGAGCTGACCCACATGGCACAGCAGACCTCTCCCCTCTCACCCACTGCTCCTCAGCAGTGTATTTCATATATCTGCCTGTTTTGCGCCTCACTGTCTCTGGTGAATCCTCTCATCCCCCTCACACCCCAGCTCTTGTATGCATAAATAAATCTTTAAAAATAAAGTTTAGAAGGTAATGGAATATAGAGAACTATATAATCAGTAAAGCTTATTTTGCATAGGAAATATGGGGTATGAGATTAAGGTCTTGCACCAGATCACAAAGATAATGATTAGTTGAGAGTTTGAAGTCAAATCTCCTATTGCCATAGATAGAAACAGAAAATAAAAAATTTTCATTCTAATAAAGGTAAAATGGGAGGGATTTTTGTTTATATCCTTACTTTTTAAAACTGTATCTGGAAGAATCACTTTAAAGGCCATGTATGGAATGTTCAGAGTTTCACAGTGTTTAGTCCAGCAGGAGTTTTCTACATAATTGTACTCCACCACAAATGAGAAACTGCTCCAGGGGAAGTCTGCTCCAATGTTCTGATTGTGTACAACTACACAGGAACTTGTACTGAAGACAAAAGAAAGTCATTAAAACGAAATTATGTTTGTGCCATTATTTACTTGGGATGCTAAAAGTTAATTGGTTTTGATGATTCCTTTCTTCTCTATCCTATGTTTACTTATCTTGGAAAGTTCTTACATATTTTATCTTGATTGTTCTCCAACTGTAAGAATCCCTTTTTTATCTTTCTTTATGATGGACATACTTAAAAAAAAAAAAAAAGCACCACACAGAATACAAAAAAACTGTAGATTAATTACATCCCTAAATTCCAGAACTCTAATTCTGTGACCTGACTTTTATCTACAACACACAAAAGACCACAAGAAATCAATCTCCTTTTCTTACAAATGTAAGGTTTTAATCTTTGACAATCTATATAACAGAATTTTATCTGAGAACCTCAAAATGGTTTTCTTCTCTTCAATGGGATTCAAATAATTTAGCAACAGTCAAACAAGATGGACACACACGGTTATCTTTCCCATCTTAAAGTTTCATATAACATAGCACTGACTATTAAAATTCTGCTGCTGCTTTCTATCTAGAGCAATCTAGAAGATAAAAGGTATGTCTGTTTAGCTTTTATGAACTCCTATTTGATTAGCATCTTCTATTTTTATTATTTGAATCTCAAAATAAGAAATGCTTTCCACATATGGCAAAATAAAAATATTGAAACAAGTCAACACTATATTATTACTAATAGTAGGTTTTCATGAGAGAATTTCTAAAGGATGTACTTCAGGAAAGAGTCCCAGAAGAAAGGAAGGAGGTATAGAAACAATCTGAGAAAAAAAACAAGGGTAAGTCCAAAGGAGTTGTTCCTACACTAACAATCTGATAATCTGGGGGTACCGAAACAAGATTGAATTAAATTCCTGGCATTACACAAGGCAATGAGCTGAATTGACATGTTCTATATAAAATACTTTTCAAAAGAGGCTAGAGATATTGGTTAATTTTGGATTTAAAAGTTACTAATTTGGGGGGGAAAGGGTTGAAGTCTCCTGATGGTGCAGGGGTTAAATGTTAGCACTATTACCACAGGCCTGAGTTTGATCCCCAGCCAGGGAGCTGACACACATGGTGCAGCAGACTTCTCCTGTCTCACGTGCTGCTCCCCTCAGCAGTGTATTTCAGTAGATACACATGTTCTGCTCCCCTCTCTGACTCTGTTGAATCCTCTCACCCTACTGCCCCCACACCTCTGGCTTATAGCCCAGTTATTGCATAAATAAATAGTGTTTATAAGTACCGGGTTCAGTTCTTATGAAACTTAAGAGTTAATTCTAGGAAAATTGTGCTTTTCCTGGAACTGGAATGTTTGTTCCTCATAAATGAAGAAGAACATTTTTACCCATTTAAAATGCCTTCGGATTCCAAAACCTCTTTCCTTTCATTTGAGTGTAAAACAGTCAAAGTTATACCTGTTGGAACAAAAAAGCAATAAAAGTATTTTTTACAGTGTTTTGTCATCTGTAGTTTTAGGTGTGTCATATATTTCACTAGCATGCCAATGAACTAGGACATTGGGAACGAGGACATTGCTTAGTATATAATTTACTAGATTATTTTTCTAAATCTAGAGTATCAAAAAATTTGAAACATTGTTAAAATTTTGTTATAACAACAAAAAGAGTCAAAACTTAACTTCAAAATAACTAAATTAAAAACATCAATTCTGGGCCCTCCCAGCAGGGTTGGAGCACAGCACTAAGAAGCTAAAGCCAGGCTCTCTCTGATGGTGCAGAGGGTTAAAGCACAACACTAAGAAACTAAAGCCACTTCAGCATGAGTTCTAACCCCACCTGGGAGGTGACCCACATGGTGCAGCAGACCTCTCCTGACCTGCCTGCTGCTCCCCTCAGCAGTGTACTTTGTTGATCTACCTGTTTTGCTCCCCTCTCTGTCTCTGGTGAATCCTCTCACCACCCCTGTACATCTGGCCTGTACCCCAGTTCTGTATGCATAAATAAACATTTTTTAAAAATCACCAATTCTGTACAGTTAAGTTTATTTTCCAAAAATCATGGTAAATGATTACTCTTTTTCTCTAGCCAAAAATTTAAGTACATATCAAAACAGCAAGAGTTACATTTCAATATGGTAGAAATGCTGGTCCCCACCCCCTTACTGGTTATATAAAAGCAGAAGTCACTTGTTCCTTAGCTTTATTAAAGAACTCTGTACTCACCATAGAGTTTAATTTTGGTTAGACATAATTGACTAATTGGCTAATTATAACTAAAATAAATTCTATGCTCTATTACTGTACATTTGTCAACTGTAAAATTCCTGAAGGCAGTTTATAATGACAGAGTAATGCTTAATAATTTCATAATTGTTTGGCTCGATATAGATTTGGTAATAATAATAAGGAAGACAGTTGTATTTGTTTTATGCATTTTATAAAATTATTCATATTATTTGAAACGTAATCTCCATAAATCTTATATCTTTATAATGGCTATACCCCCAAAACAGATCTCCAGCTTAATGCATTCTTAGGACCCTGTAAAAACAAAGGAAAATGGAAACACATCTTTTACTTTCCAATACTATACAGGGAAAAGCCCTAGCTTATAAAGAACAGTTGCTGAGTAGGCAGAGAGTGAAATCATTTTTCAGTTTGTAGGTTTTCCATTTGTGTTTGTGTCAGTATACCTCGTTGAAATAAAAACAGTAAGAATAGTGATGATACAATGCCACAAGAACTAGAGATGTTTAACATGAAGCCCTAGATAAAAAGCAGTATTTTGTCAAATAATCTTAAGTGGCATCAAAGAAAAGTGACATCAAAGGGGAAGGTTCCCCATTAAGTAGGTTGAAGGAATTTTTACAATGACAGAAATATTTCCCCTAATTCTGTATAAAAGTATTTCCTCAGCCACATAACTTTAGTACTACACTGATAAGCAGATATTTGCAGCAATACTTGTATACATTTGCAGTTTACTCTCTTTTCACCAATTTCAATCTATAATAGATACAGAGGGCGGCATTAATTGACTCTTTTATTCAATAAACTTTTCCTAGGGACTTTGTATATTCCAGACATTTTCATGGTTGCAAATCAGGGTTTTTATTTCCAGAGGTTGACATTTTAATGAGGAAAACAGACAAGAGAATCTGTTATTAGAGCCCATGCTGGCAAGTGGTTTCTTAGAAGCATGCATGTAATGCTAAGAACATAGAGAAAAAGAATCTAAATCTAGGCTTCCTGAACAAATGGTTTAATTTATAAAGGCTGTGTAGGAGTTAGCTTCCTAAGGAAGGGAGATGAACATATTGATTTCTTAAACAGGAGGTTAGAGGAGCAGAAACAGGAAAGAGAATTATAAATAGTTTGGTAGAATAAGAGCAGAGCTATTTTGGTTGATGGCAAAACACGTAGTTTATAAAGGAAAATAAAATAACTAAAGGGTGCCTGAGGTCGAGGGTGGCATTTTACTTTTTAAGACACTGGAGGGCTTCTTAGAGAGTCCTTAGGGAGAAAAACTGGGCTGGGAAATAACTCAAGGGACCAAGACTTGGAGAATGGAGGAAGAGAACAGTATCCAAAGCATGAGTGAAAGACTGGTTATTGAAGGGAGTATATTCATCTCCTCTCTAGAGAAAAGAAGAAAAGGTAAAACAATAGGAGACATGAAGGTATGTTTGTAGATGGTAGGGAAAGAAAACGTTAAGAGGACTCATACCATTAAGAGACATTAGAAGAGGCAGTTTCTTTAAAAAAAACAAAAAAACAAGGGGGTGAGTAGCATAAACATTAGAAGTAGCTAGTAGGAGACTAGGGATAGACACTAAAGACATACAGAAAGCTTATTAAGAGGTGTTAAGAGCTTGTAAAGTTCAGAGAAGAAGGGCTTGTTGTGGTGTCAATGTATATGATTTTTTCCAACAACGCTCAGTAGCTCAGTTATAGGAAAAGAGAGGTTAACTGTCTATAACAGATTCAGAATTGAGGTTTAAATGGAAAGTACAATAGAAGAACAAGACTGATAAAAGTGATGGTCTCATTACCAGGCGTGGAAAGAGGAGGGAAAATGAAGCAAAAAAGGGAATTGGCAGATTACAGATCTCTAAAATCCTGAAGATCATGAAAGAACTAGTGGTAGATATAGACAAAAAACAATGTCAGAGCTTAAACTTCAGAGATAGATAGTTCCACATTATCATAAGGTCAAAGGCACAAAGAATGAATATGATTTTTGGGCATGGAAGCCAATGAAACTCAGGATCAGGGTGTTGAAATGACCTGTTCACATTAAAGATACCTAGGATAATAATAGCAGGGGTGGGAGTGAAAAGAAAACTGTGAGGCAGGTGCACAAGTGTCCATGGATCATGAGGAAGGTTCATGTAGTTTCTAGACAAATGGCAATATGGGGTAGAGAGTGGTACAGTTATGGCACAGCCTCAAAGGGGACAAGAATAATATTTTAGAAAGGATAATGGAAACCAAGACACAGATTTCTATCCCAATGAAGAATAGAGAGACAAAATTATCAACTTCTATACCAGAGGGATACAGGTGTTATCTGAGGAAAAGTTCTATTTCAGCTAAGACAGGTGACAAGGGAAAGAGTTTACAATTAAGCAATGGGTTCCACAGCACAAACTGGGAAGGACTGGCAGTGAAGAGTGACACTGAAGTAAGAGAGATCTAGGTTCAAATCCCGAGTGCCTCACTTACTCCCATGAGGTTTGGTATGTTCATTGTGTTTCTGAACTTTATTTTTAAGATTGAGCAAAGAAAACCTACTGAGAAGAGTTTTGTAAGTAGCCAGTATCATTTAACGAACGTAGGAAATCAATAAAAGGTGTCACTGGACAACACTAATACTATTTTTAATCACAATAATAATATACACACATTATAACATGTTTATATCACACATTTACAGTTCAGATTGATTTGAAAATTGGATAGCACCTATTAATTATATACCTTAAGGCATATATTTTATGGTATACTAATTATGTCTTAATTTAAAAGTTTGGTTAGATCAAAACATTTTTATATATTCAAGCACTATTATCAAATGAAGCATAATTTAAAACTCCCTACCTTCCATTTTGCTAAGGAATTTAATGAGTAGATGTTTTTCATCATCTGAGTTCATTCTTATTATAATCAGCACCTGATCAAAAGTAAGAATTTCATATATAGTCTGAATGATTATTCCTTTTCAAAGTTCTGTTACAGTGACAAAGTAGCATTTTAACTGATTATACACTATGACTACATGAGTACAAAGTTAAAAATTATGTTATAAAAGATGTAAATGCTTAAATTCTAAGGAATACATTCTGGTAAGATCACACATCAGTGAGGAAAATATTTTAGGGTAAGGCATTCTGAGCACTGCTCAAATGTTTCCATATGGATGACTCTATATATGTATGTTGTCTCTGCCTGTATTATTAGTGTTAAATTCAACTCACATAAGTTTGGATTTATGAAAAAAATCAGTAATTTACTGCCATATTTTCCTAATTATAACCACAGTTTTTGGAAGGGTTGGGATAGGGATGGCAAATCAGTACAATTTTAAATTTCTTTATTTTCATGACTTAAGCAAGTTTTCTAAGTAATCATAGAGTTACAGGTAAAGATACAAGTGGGACAAAAAGAAAAAGAAAAAGGGAAAATTGTATGCAGATTTAGTGAAATGATTTGAAATCTTTTTTGTTTGGTAAGATTTTAAAAGGCATTTTCATTTAAATATTCACTAATTCGTGTGACAGGTGCTTTTTTGGTAGAAGTATATGAGATTCTGGTTCAATATCTAGAACTGATTTTTGTAGTTCTATTATTGGATATATATTCATGAACTTGTAAATACCAGCTAAAAAATAATTCACTGGAAACTGCACACAATAAAAATTAAAATATTTAAAAATTTAAGACATGAATACCAATGTAAATCATCCTTTCTCTTTGATTACTTCTGTTTACTAATTTCTATTAACTTAGTAGGAGAAAACTGTCAAAGGGCCAAAATCATGAGTATTGCATAATTTTAAAGTTAAATATAAATTCTTATTACATCCAATTTTTATTTAAAATGAATACTTTTATCTGCTTTATCCTAATACTTAACCTTAATTTGCTGTTCACTTTGCATCCAACTTAGTATCTGACATTTCAATTCTTGTATCTTATAATTGGTTTCAGGCTTTCTTCCCCTAATAAACTGTACAATCTTCAGCTGTCTCCAAATGCCTCCCAAGTAAGAGCCTAAAATGCTTTTGTAGATGTCTTTTGCATTTGACAAATATCCTGTTAAAAACAAAACGGGAGAAAAGCCTATTTTTTGTTTCTTTGAGAAACTCCATGGTAAATACTTTAAACAACAGAGTTTAAAATTCCTCTACCCTTTCACTGATTTTAATCAAAGATGTCAAGTAGTGAAACCTTAAAACTAAGTGAAGCTCAGAAAAAAATGTACCAAATGTCTCTTTTAAGCTACATAACACCAATATGCCTGGATATAATCTACATATTCTCTGAATAAATCTCATCCTTTCTTGCCTTCTGGCTTGCTGAATGTTATTGAATTCTTCCAAAACCCCAGGTGCTATATTTACAAACAAATCTTGTGGAAATGTCACTTCACTGGAGTTTTTTTGGTATTTTATCCAGTGTTTGTATTTAGTGCTGATTATCTATGTATATGACTTAACTTCTAGACTATAAGATCTTCAGATCTATTTTATGATATTTATGCATAAATATTTTTATAGCTGCTAAAACAGAATTGCCTAAATTTTGACTAAGAGCAATTTTTAAACATAAAATCCTAATGAAACCTTGAGTCCTAAGACTCATCCTTGAAGGTTCATATTCAGTGTATCTGTAATATGTCCTTAGATTTCTATTCTAAGTGATTCTGCTGCACAGTGAGTTCTATGAATTACTGAAATAGAACATCTGGCATAGTAATTCACCTAGGTCAGTGTTCAGTAAATAGTTTGGCAATAAATGAAAAAATTACATTAAAAATTTAATACTTATGTTCATGTTATACTCATGGGTGTCATTAATCTTAATTTATATTAGCACAAATAGACTGATGGGCCATTTAGAGATTGATTTATGTTCTTTCTGTCTCCTAATCTCCAAACCTACCACTGATTCTCCACACTGTCACTATATTTAACCTTCAGAAAGAGAAACAAAGCTAAGCCAGTAGCATCTCTGATGCAATGGCTCCCTGTCATCTACAGAATAAGGTCCAAACTCTCTTGTGTAGTTTAAAGGGCTCTCCATGATTTGGCTCTTTCTTACTTCTTCAGGATTAACTCTTAATACCTTCTACCTTGTACTTTTCAGTTTAGTCACATGAACTGTTCACAGCACACTCACTATGTCATTCTCCTGGGTTCTTAATTCTGCCTATCATATTTTTTTTGTAATTTATTTATTTGCTAAATAAACTCCTTATCTTTTCAAGAAATAGCTTAAGGGAAACAGTCTCCATCCTCTGTGCCATTACTACATATCTGTACAATACTACCTACTACACAATCCTATTTCTATTTCTAAATTAAAGTGCAGAAATGATATGCTTTATCTTTAACCTTGAAACTCATCACCTTGGTAGTTTGGGAGAGGAAGCAAATGGGAAGCTGGGAGAAGATACAGAATTCTGGAAGGAATTCTGGAGGAAGTAGCCAGGTACTGGTAGACCTTTCTCTCTGTGTGGGAGAGAGAGAAGGCGATAACAGGACAACTAAAGTTGGTGCTTGATTCAAGAGGTTTGGGAGACTCCACTAAAAATGTACAAGGTAGTTAGATTATTTATAGTAGCTTGGTACCTAGGGCTTAAGAAATCGGTATTCCAAAAAAGATTTTACCCTATAGTACTTTTTAAGGCAACCAAATAATAAAGTCAAAGGTTGATTTGGTAAGTAGATTTCTTTGAGGAGCAAAAACAATTCAGCACAAGTTCAAAAGTTCCCAATGATCTCACTTCATCCTAGGGTAAATTTTAAGATACTTAAAGGTGAATATCCTTCCAATAATCCTCCATAAGTACTTATGTCTCTAATTGAGGATTTTGATAAGCACCAAGCAGCAGTGAGTCACAACTGTACTCGCTCTACAGCTCTGGAAGCTCAGATAGTCAAGACTCTGCTATTCTGCCCTATTATGCTTTAATAATCAGCCTCGCTGTAGATGGGACTGACAATATTTTATAGAAGGAAAATGTATAATGAAGACAGGTTACTAACCAAAAGAGCATGTGACACTGTGCCCTTATACTAGTTCTAGAAAACTGATACTTGTAAAGGGATGGAGGTAAGATAACCTGCTCCAGTGTCAACATCCAAGTGATTTAACTGGGGAGAAGAAAGAAAAAGCACCATGCCTGTCATCTAAAAGTGTCTGTACCTTATTTATGATTCTTGGTTAGATAAGAATAATATAACTGAGACTTAAGCAAATATTATAATACCTCAGGGTATAGGGAGTACAATTGTGACCTCACTGTTGCTCAATATTTATCAAAACCTTGGATTAAAGAAATAATATTTGTCTGGGTCACAGATAAGACAAAACATCTGTGTCATAGGTCAGAGAAAAACTACTTTCACTCTAGTATGAAATAATGCTTTAAAACGGCTCTAGAAACTCTAAATAAAAAAATAGTAATTTCATAAGCTTAGTACTATACAAGTGTAAATAATCCTTCAATATAGGGGTTAAATCAGTAATGCAGTCAGAAGATATTTTGATATTAAAATTTTCTATTATCTTCAAAATAGTGTGATGTTAATTACTCAAATAATCACACCCTAGTTTACATTCACAACTGAAAAAGAAATTAAAGAAGATCTTACTACTTATAATTTAGTAATAGTTCAATGAGGAGCTAAAATATACATGGGAAGTGTCAAATATTACATTAATTAGTACACAATGATGACTATACATTTAAAGTGGTTGAAGTCATTAGGACTAAAATTTATACCTAGGTAGAGAATCCTATACCTAATTTTCTAAGTGGCAATTGTTGATAAAGATAATTCTTTAGTGAATACAAGCAGAATATATATTCCATTTTGTCAAAAATACATGTTTCATGTGGAAGTAAAAGCTTACATACTTCCACATTTTTTCCAGAAAAATAAATTATTTCAGATTAAATAATTCAAAAGGGTTATCTCTGGCAGCGCACTGTGTTAAAGCACAGCACTGTGGGGCTATCAGTCACTGCAGCACGAGTTCTTTCCCCTGCCAGAGTGCTGACCCACGTGGTAGGGCAGACCTCTCCTGGCCTGCCCACTACTTCCCTCAGCTGTGAAGTTCATTCAATCCATCTGTTCTCTCCAATCTCTCTGGTGAATCCTCTCACCCCCCATACCTCTGACCTGTGCCCCAATTGTATATGCATAAATAAATAAATCTTTTAAAAAATAAATAATTTTTAAAAAGTAGAGAAATAAAAATTTCCCCTACCAACCTAATGCTGAGTCCAAGCTACATGTTAAAAGCACATCTCTAATTGTTACCAGAAGGTGTAAGAGAGCAGCATGCTTGAATGTCATTTCTCTTTCATCATCTGTACCTAAGCAAAAGCATATTTAAAAAAACATGGAATATGCATTAGAATTTTAGAATAGGTATCAGAATGCATAACAGTGACAGCTAACCTCTATTATCACATTCTTATGTATCAAGCTGGAGATAGGCTAGTTATTTCATTAAATCTATAACAACAGATTTTTGTGATCCTCACTTTGGTTGAGGAAACAGTCTTAACCAGGCTAAATAATTTTGTGAATAAATGATGGAATAGCATTTAAACCCAGTCAGCTAACCTTAAGAGTTCATGCTTTTGTTGTTTCCAGAAAATATTCAATTATTTCTACTCTTTATAGGCACACAGGGCAATAATTAACAATCATGAAACTGGAAGAAAATAAAACTCATAACCTGCAAACTGCTTAAAATGAAGGATAGTAATATAAAGTAATACCTTGGAACGAAAGTGAATACAAGAAATGCATTCAGGTATACGCCAGCTGTCTAATGTTTACATGTATACAGTTACAGAGCATTTTGAAAATCGTAGGTTGGATTTTACTGTGCCTAAAAGTGAAACCAAGTAGACAGGGTTATAACCCCACTAGTCCAGAAAGGTGGTTCTTTTCTGTTTTCATGTTGGGATTACATGAACATTTACTTGGCCAGAATTCTGCCCCATAATTTGAAAATTGCTGATTTAATCATTGAAGATCAAGGCACAAAAGTAGGAGTGAAAAGTCAAATGGCAATAGGAAAACCAATAGTGGGTAATATATCCCTAAGTCTCTGGAATGACTTCATGTCTATCATGTGGGAATTTACAGGAACAAGTTCATGAATCATGACCTGGAACAGATAATAGGGCAAAGGAACAAGGTTTTCTTCAGTTTAATATTTCTTACAGTGTAGGTCTGCAGCGGATGAATTTGCTGTTTTGTTTTTTTTTTTTTTATGTGTCTGAAATGACTATTACTTCTTTTTGTAACATGTATTTTGCCTATATAGAAAATTTGATGTTTTATTCTTTCAGTGATTTAAAGGTATTATTCTACTGTATTTTTACTTGTATTATTTCAGACAAGAAATCTGATGTCATTTTTATCTTTGTTTCTTATATGTAACATACCTTTTTTCCTTCCGATTGTTTCTATAAATTTCTTCATTATCACTGGTCTTTAGAAATTTGATTATGATGTCACTTATGAGCTTGTTTTGGATGGTTATTCTCATTATGGGTCCTATTTTCAGTCTCTTTTCATGCCTGACAATCTTTAATTAGAATCTAGACATTGTATATTTTACTTTGTTGGATACTAGATATTTATGTATTTGTATAAATCCTCCTGATCTTTATTCTGGGCTGCAATAATGTTTCCTGGAAACATTTGATCATTTGCATCTTGCTCTTATGATCTGTGAGTCAGGTCCACAGTAGTGCTAAATCTAGGGATAATTATTCCTCAGTATTCAGGCAGGACTTCTCTAAGTATTTTAATCAATGCCCCATAAATTATTAGTTTTTCTGGTCTAGTAGGTGGGAATAGACTTTATTTCCTGCACTGGTGAATTCAGAGTTCTATTTCTTCTTACTGCTTTTAGAGGTTTTGTTACCCAACTTCAGGTAGTTTCTACACATACACTCCATACTCTTTGATCAGTATTCTGCTAAACACTTGAGAGAGACCATACAGATTTCCAGGACTGTCTGTGTGAAGCTTATGCTCTCTAATATTCAATACCTTGAACTCTAACTGCCTTGACCTCCCTGGACGCTCAGCTGTTTCTCTAATTCAAACTGTCCACTGGGCTCTGTCAGAATACCTCTTCCTGTGCCGTGTACTGGCAATTCACTGAAAACAGGAAGTTAGGGCAATGGACCAGTCACCTTATGAGCTCAGGAATCTCTATTCTTCATTACCTGAAATCTTGGCTCTTAAAAACTGGTTGTATGTACATAATTGTTGTTCTTATTTCTAATAGGAAGGTAAATCTAATCCTGTACTCCATCTTGGCCAGAAGCAAAAGTCCAGGATTAACTTTAATCTATTTTTTTATATTTCCCCCTACCCTTTCTGGCAGTGGGGGAGGGGGAAATAGGAACAAAGTAGTTCAGATGCTAACAACTATAGGGTTATTTTGGTTTCTGCAACCCAAGAAGTAATGTTAGATGTTATTTAACATTTTGTCCTTAAGCTGATCAGATTTGGTTCATGGGTAAGACATGATGAATTACAGTTGTACTTTTATCTATGACTAGTTTCTGAATCTTTTATGTTTATTTTTTACTGATTTGATAAAACAATACATACATTTATATTTTAAATCATGTGGCTTTTATTTGCACTCACCTTGGTGAATAGCATCACTTATAATTTTTTCTTGTTCTTTCAAGAAGAACCTTGTTTGGTCAAAAATAACAGTGGCAAATTTCCAATTAGCAGCAGGGAGAGTGCAGGAGTACACAAGGTTTTTTAAGATAGGAGTAGCTGCCGCTTCTAGGAGACAAAACGCTTGGCATTGGCTATCTGCAAAAATAAATACATTGAAGGCAGTGTCTTCTATAAGGGTAATGATGTTTTTGTCAAACTGGTAAAACATGATACTTCAAGAAAACCTGAATTTTATTCAAAGACTTTTCTGAGTTAAAAACCATGAAATGATATAAAGTCTTATTATATTTATTCTATAAATTCATAAAAATAACTACTATGCCCATAAAATTAGCATAACTTTATGACTTTCATGCATATTAGAAATGAGTTATTCTGTAACAATTTGTCATGGCAAGTATTAAGCCCCACATAAAGAACATCACTTAATTTTGTCTTTCCCCATAAATATTATCTTACAGTCTTAAATTATAACAATGACATATTGTTTCTAGTTTCCAGTAGACTATCAATACTTAAGAGATTTGCATATCATCTAAAGGTGATAAAGTTGAACCAGAAAATATTTAAGAATTGGTGTCATATTTCCTTGTTGATTTTAATGAGTATGATAGTTGCTTAAGGGTAGCTATTCTTTGGGACTTAAGCAATATTCTTACAGCAGAACAAAAACATTTAATCAGTATGGTAATCAATAATAACTTATTTACATTACCCTGACAGGGGGTAAGAAAACAACCATTCGCAGTTCATTTTTCAGACTAGGCACAAGAGTCCAAGGAATTTCAGTTTATTCTTCTCTGATGAATGTAGGGAATAGTTTAAATGAAGGGAAAAATAACACAGTGGATGAGAGTAGAGCAGTAGGGAGGGTTGGAGGTAATGAAAAGGGCATTCTAGTTTTAGAAATAAGTTAAAAGTAGGAATGGAATGAAGAAATATCTTCCATAAGTGACGAAAACTGCATATAAAATGAAGTATGTTCTAGATACCCAGGAAAGATTTTTTCAGATTTACTTAATTTGAATACATTTCAAAAGCATATAGCATACCGGAAGCTTGAATTTCAATGACATGCTTTTCGGTGCTTTCCTGATTGACTTCCTCCAGTGTTTTATTAATACAAACAATTGGACTTTCTCCTTGAATAGTCAAAGAACATTCTTTATCTTGAAATTCTAATAAAAATCAATTTGCATTGTTTTAGAGAAAATTAATGTTTTCTACTTTAAGCTATCTTCTAACATGATCACAATTGCTGGCATTCTTTAAAACACGCAAATCCTAAATTGAAGAACTATTCTTGTCAAAGGACATAATACTGTGCTGGGCAAGAAGCTAAATGGTAATAATGAAAAATTTCAGCATCAGATTGGTGATTGAAACTCATTCTGACACTAGTCTCAGTTTCCTCATATGTAAAATATGAGATAATATACCTGAGTTGAATATTGTTATAAGGAGAAAACGACAATAGCCTCAAAGTGGAATTGCTTATGCTAAGACGCAAAGTCACCAAGCTAAAATTTAATACTTAATTGACAGTTTGAACTGCTCGCAGGAGTGGAATCTTAACCCAGTCAATCTGGAACTGGTCAGTCCCTATGAGTAACAGTCTGACAGACTCCTGTCATTTCCTAAAGATGATCTTGACAAAAGTAATCAGCTAGGTTAACTTTTTTGTCCTGCCCTTTTCTGCTTGTAGGTTTCATTTTGTATAGCTTCTCAAAGCTCCTTTCTGTCAACTAAATGGGATACTGCCTCATTCAGTGAATAAAGACAACTAAGGTCTTTACTTTCTGCATAATCCGTTCCTACTCTCTAAACCATCCCTGTCTCTATTTTTTTCTTAATTAGGCTAATTGAGTTCACTACTTATCCTTCAGCTCTCACACATTTCCTGTAAAAAGCCCCATTTAACTGCCATTTCTGCTCTTCCAAGCTGGCAATGTGTCCCTCTTTTTTTGTTTCCTCAGCACTCTGTGCACCCTTGTCTCCTGGCACCTACCACACTGTGTTGAAATTATCTATTTACATGTCTGTCCCACCCTATTATATTGTAAGCTTCTCAGGTTAATACCGGTATCATTCCTCTCTAATATGTAATTTAGTGTCTAGTACAGTAATCAAAAAATGTTAGTTTTCTTCCAATAAAAGTACAGTTTTTCTAAGTATAATAGAAGATTTATGGATATGTAACTATTAGATAGCAATGTTATCCAATCATATGGTTATAATAGTTGTAGAAACACATTGCCATCTTGAAACATTTAATATGTAACCTTTAATACATGGTGAAAAATGGACGAAAATGCCTGAAACTAGATTTTGTTATTCTTAAATGATACCTTAACTATAAATAATTAGAATAGCTGTGATTAAGTAATAACTGGAGATTTTGAGGGGGCCTAACAAGTTGCAATTACTTTTTCTTGTCTCTCAATCAACTATAAAATAAGAAGTAAAATATGTGCCAAAATATTATTTTTATTACTATAAAATTTAAATTGGAGAAAACTATTATATTATTTAAAAAAAAATTTTAAGTTGGAGAAAGAGTTGGCCTGAGAGTCAAGTAAGCTTGTTAATAACACCAGAATCAAGCTGTCATCTACTATCCTAGGCTTGCTGGACTGGGACAGGATTACCTTTGGAGGGGAGGCAAGATGGGAAAGATGTGTGATAAACGGAAGTAGAGGGGACTATCTGTTCTCAGTGGGCAGCTCAATCATGAGCTTATGCCCAATTTATTATTTTCAAATTTACAATTCATATAATTCATTCCAACATCCCTGGGGAGGACTTATTAAAGGTCAAAGGGCTTAGGAACATAAGACTACTTGAGATAACATCACAAGTACAGAATTATTCCCAGCTAACTTCAATATTCCTTTCTTTGTTTAGTAAATTTGTGGCTGACTTTTTAAATTTTTGCAAGTAAATATTTTCATCTTCTTTTCTTGCTGCTTCCTCTCATTTTGTGTTGCCAGTACATCTTATCCAAGTCATTATCACCAGAATGAAAAGGATGTCAGTGTTAATTTTGGATCACTTTTCTTTTACTCCCACATTTGAATAGAATTTGAAAATAACAAATATTCTAGAAACTCCTATTTATGTATCACAATTTGTAAGATAATTCTTTATATACTGCTCACTTCTGTGCCAAAGTTTTTCTCTAAGCTATGGTACAAATATTAGAAAGATCTCAGATACAAATAGATTCAGTCCCTAATAACATAAGTTTCTTAGAAAAAGTTTTATAATGAATATATATAAATACAAAGGATGAAACAATTCTGGCATTTTTAAAAACTATTTTGTATTTAACGGAATTCTTTCACTGTTAAATATGCACTAATTAACAAAGTCCTATAATTCTATACAGATCTATAAGAGGTTATCATATATTTTGGAAAAATAAATGCTACTATCATGCTATATTTACATCTACCTATCTATACTTATCTCCACATACAGTGTCATGAACCAATGGCATTTTTCTTGACTTTGAAAAACAATGTAATTCTACTGAGAGAACTTAAAAAAGTGCCTCTACAATAAATACATATGTAGTCCTTCAGGTGTATATATTTACACAAAGATTACTGAATTACCCACCATCTTTTTCACTATTGTCTGTGACTTCATTCTTTGAGGTACATATCTCATATTTATTTCGCAGCATAATAAAGTCATTCAAAGGGTCTAAATCATGCCCCCATTTTTTACCATGTTTAAAGAATGACTTTTCAATGTTTGAAGATAAAGATGATTCAGTCAACAGTACTGTGCTGTCATGTTCAAAGTAATCTTTATTTTCAATTATTCCGCCAACTAGTTCTAGATCATCCTTTGGTCTTTCTTCCTTTGTTGGTGTTTTAATAGTGACACATTCATCAGAAGCACCCATATCTGGTATTTCATTTGCCACAGACGGGCTTTTTTGTGGAAGTGATAAATGATCACTTGTGGACTCCTCATTAATAAGGACAATAGAGGAGGAACAATCTTCATGTTCTAGCAATGCTGAAAACAGAAAATAATAATGTATTATTCTTGAGGATGCCATTAAATCTTTCTCTACCTTTTTTCCCAGCAATCTGACCAAATCTTTTAAACAATTCTACATGGGTAACCACTTAGGTCTTAGGAGAGGCTGACAGGTAGTTGCTTGCTAGAGTCTTTTTATCTATGCTCCTTCCTGTCATATCGATTATCCATTTCTGTCTTTGAAACACCTCTTGCTGATAACAATTCTCACCCCAATTCCTATTTCCTTAGGAATCTATCTTCTTCCCAAACATATACAATAATTTAAAAATTCCACATGTATATTTATAATGAACTGAAAGTAATAAATGTATTAACATATAAAGTGACTTTAAAACAATACAAAATACTTCAAATAGCTATAATTCAGGTAAATATGTTTTATAATGGCATAAATAGCATCCAAAAATAAATTAAAGGCTAGAAACCTGAAAGACATTTTTGTCTTCTTAAAGAATTTAAGAAAAAAATGCGAAGTGAATAAACTTGTTGGCAACAAAGGAAGATGTTCTAGTACAGATCACTAGGTATTAGAAAACACTTAAAATTTAGCTGTAGAACCAAAAAATAACACTGATTTGGCTAGACTGATGTAAACTGAAATTGCCATAGCATTTAACCATGTACAAAAAAAAGCAGTCACTTTAACTGAAAAATCCAAAACTGATTATTAAATATTTTTAGCAGAGAAAAGGATTTTAGGACTACCTAGTGAAATTACTCAGTTAAAAATTTTTTTTTAAGTTTATTTATGCATACAAGTACTGGGGTACAAGGCAGAAGTGCAGGGGTGAGAGGATTCCCCAGAGACACAGTGGGGAACAGAACAGGTGGATTGACCGAAATTCCCTACTGAGGGGAGCAGCTAGAAGACAGGAGAGGTCTGCTGCGTCATTTGGGTCACCTCCCAGGACAGGGATCGAACTTATGCTGCAGTGGCTGCAGATAGCTTTATAGCGCTGCACTTTAACCCCTTGCACCACAAGGGAGGCCCAAATTACTAAGTTTTTTAAGAAAGAAAATGAGGTTTAGTGAACCACAACACTTGTATAGAGCCAAAGTCAACAGTGAATACTGGGATCAAGTTACATTCTTCCAATCACCTGGTGGAAAGTCAGTATCTAACATTTCCTCATGTTGAAAATGTTCACACAAGTGATAGTTACAATTATATACTTACATTCTGATTGGAGCTCTTTTGTAGGCAAAACTATTTCCATTTTAGTATCAGGAGACGATAGATCAAGAGACAAATTTGTGTTCAAGTGTTCTAAAGTTTCTGTCACTATCAGATTTAGTCCTGCTTGTTTGCACCCATCTGTATTTACAGGATTAATTACAAGGCTTTCTTCTTCAATTGAAAATCTCTCTTTCAAATCTGGAACTGAATATTGGCTGTCAGGCTCTTCAGTTCCTGGCACTTTCAAAACAGTAACAAATTCAAACCAGAGAATCAGATTGAAATAATCCAAAAAGGACAAATGATGAAAAACACAATAAACAGAATCCCACTGGAAATCCCTTATAAAGTAAAAATGAAACTTGAAGCTAGATGTAGTATTTTGTCAAGATGTTAATAATTGGAAAGCCTTAAAATATTATAGGAATACAAGTCACATAAATGCTTTATTTCAATCTGTGAAAATATGCAGTTGAAACTGTTTCAATACTTCATGTGCTCACTCTCTCAGGAGCCCTTTACCTTTGCTGATGGACCTGCAATGAGCTGGCCTGGCCCCACCTGACCACTCTTTTATTTCTTACTTCTTACCTCTGGAAGGAGGATGGGAACAGAGTTTATCTTATTCACATTGTTGGTAGAAGTGGTAGTGTGCCAGGTAGGACCCTTGTGCATGACTGCATTTCCTTTCTGAAAAGTTCCTCTCGGGAAAATCACTATGCTTCCCTTCCCAAGGGCAATCTACTAAGGACTTGAGATGGCTGGCCCCAACCCTTTCTGCCAACTGGGCTATTAGCTCTCCTGGCCACATTCCCTTGACCTGAAACAAGCCCCCAACCCTAGCACAAGTCCTCCTCCATGGGAAAGTCCTGAGACTTTGTCAGGGAGTTAGCCTTTCTTTGAGTAAATATTAACCTTTTTAATAGTTTTTTAAAATAAAGATTTAATTACATATGCATACAACTACTGTGGTACAGGCCAGAGATGTGTGTGGAGGGGTGAGAAGACTCATCAGAGAAAAAGTGGGGAGTAGAACAGGCAGATTTACTGAAATACACTGCTGAGGGGAGCAGTGGGCAGGTCAGGAGAGGTCTGCCACACCATGTGGGTCACCTCTGAGGCAGGGATCAAACTCGTACTACAGTGGTTGTAGGCAGCTTCACAGTGCTGCACTTTAACCCTTTGTGCCACCATGTAGGGCTCTTAATAGGTTTTTTTTAGGGAAGAAGATGATCCTAAGCTATAAACCACCTTGATCTATTTGATCAGATTTTATGATGACTATCATTGTAGATATTGTGGCACAGAACTTTCTGCTTTATCCATTCATCAGTCCAAGTAAGGACTAATTAAAATATACAGAAGAACTAAAGCAGAAAAACTACTTAACGTTATGACTGATGCTTAATGTTAAGCACCAATACAATACTAAGATTATAAATTTTGAAATCCTAATTTTGTTATTGTTTTATATAATAAAATATATAGTTATATAATGTCAGTAATAATAACAATAAAAAGAAAAAAATGACAGTGCATTTCTCTGAGTGGTACCCTTCATCTATTCTTTCTATTAGCACTCAAAATCAATTAATCTTTACCTTTAAGCAAAAATGAGTTCAAAGAGTTTCTACAGCTTTCTGACTGCAACATCTTATCGTCTTTGTTGGCTGATTCTTCAGCAGTAAGCAAACTGCTGAAAAAAAAAATCAAAGTTTAATACATAATATTTTTTTAAAGATTTATTTATTTATGGCTGATTCTTCAGCAGTAAGCAAACTACTGAAAAAAAATCAAAGTTTAATATGTTAATATTTTTAAGATTTATTTATCAATACATTAATATTTTTAAAAGATTTATTTATTTATACAAGAGCTGAGGTGCAAGTCAGAGATGTGAGGGGTGAGAGGATTCACCAGACATAGTGGGGAGCAAAACAAGGAGATCCACTGAAATACACTGCTGAGGGGAGTAACAGGCAAGAGAGAGGTCTGCTGCTGCGCCATGTGGGTCACCTCCCTGGCCAGGGATGACAACTTGTGCTGCAGTGACTAAGGATAGTTCATAGTGCGTCTTAATCCCTTGAGCCACCAGGAAGGCCCCTTAATACACTAACATTATTTTGGGCTTTTTGCACAATAAAATTTTGGAGCCAGAGGGGAATAACTTAGAAGTGTTTTAAAAACTGCTAGCACCAACCCTATAAGCCATCCAAAATAAAAAATACAAATCTAGGTGAAATTTCTGTACTTAACATGCAAAAGAGTAGCTTTAACACAAATTTTTAATGAAGTGTTGTTCTGCTGAACAGAAATTCTGGATCCTCTATTGGCTTAGGATCAGAACTATGTAAAAAGTTCCCTCTGCTCTACCTTCTCAGGAAGTAACAGTTCTAAAATTCAGTTCAAGTCCTTCAACCTTGATGGCTCTGTAAGTGATATATGTCTTTTTGGGGACCCCAGGGGAGAAGGAACCTGTGATTTCTACTGAGTGCCAACAGAAGTGCTACTGGCAAGCAACCAATATGGATATGCCCATATCCTAAGCAGACTGTTCCAAAGTTTAGGTATAAAAATTTTTCCTGTTGTTTACTTTTTGGTAGTAATACATTCACATTTAACTACTAAACTATAGGGCTCTCCCTGGTGGTGCAGAAGGAACAGCACTAAGAAGCTACATGCTCGACTCCGCCCACCTCAGAGGTGATCGATCCACATGGCCAGCGCAGCAGACCTCTCCTGACCCGCCCGAGGCTCCCCTCAGCAGTGTACTTCTTCGATCTGCCCGTTCTGCTCCCCACACTGTCTCTAGTGAAGCCTCTCATCACCCTTGTGCCTCTGGCCTGTAACCCAGCTCTGTATGCATAAATAAATAAATCTTTATAAGTGAAGATACTAAAATATAACAGAGCTTAGTCTTATCACTTACTCGTTCCCATATTTCCAGGTTACCCATTGTGTTCCCTTCTGGACACAAGTTTCTGATATTTATGTGTCCTTCTAAAGATATTATATACATATAAAACCAAATATGTACATAAACATTCATATATTCTTTCCACTTATTTACTATAGACACTGTTCTGTATCTTGTATTTTTTTCACAGGGAAATCTCAGAAATTGCCTTTATATGGAGAAATTCAAAAGACTTCTTGTTCTGAACTGCAGTTTGAGTTTTAGATAATAATCCATACTTACATTTTAGAAACAGGAGAATATGGAAATGTCTGAAGTCTTGTACATAATGAATTCACTGAAGAAGGTTGTTCGTTTGTTAGGTCTAGTTGAGTTAAGGGCATTTCTAACTCTACTAGAATAACAGAAATTTAAAAACATCCTGGTATTACATAAACATTAAATAATAAAATTTAGAACTCTTTATGAATCAGTAATTATGTTTGATCAGTTTATTCTAATAAAAATTTTAATTTACCCAATTTTAAATTTTAAATAACCCAAATTTCTTATTTGGGTTATTTAAAATGTAAAATCACAGTTTAAAATTTTCATTATAAAAGGAATTACACAGACAACACATAATATTTCAACTGTAACAGTGATGATTTTTAAAAAATACATTGAAAGATTATAGACAAGATAAAAATCTAAAAATTTTTATTTTTAATGGTGTTTTAACTTTGTTAGCTTATATTGTCAGTTGGTAGGAGATAGTTATTTTTACCTCTGTACTAAGTAATAGTAATATTTAGCAAATATTAATGGAGAGTAACTCTTCACCTTGACAAATATGGTATCTAGGTGATCTAGCATAAAATTTTAAGTTTATAGTGGACTAGACAATCTGATCCTCATTTATTCATGAGTATCCAGTGGTTTTTATCACTTTCATAATAGATGATTAATGTGATTTAATTACACATATTACTAAATAACAGTAATTAATATAAGAAACAACATAATTTGGCATTACACTAGAACAAAAGATGATTCTAAGATTCCCAGTTTTACAGGCCAATATTAATCATAATGATAGGCTTGCTTTGGAGTGTTAATGCATTAAATTTACTATTATATACCAAATGTCAGCAAAAGCACTAGTAAGTAAAATATGAAATTTTAACTACTGAGCTATAAATTCCCATTTTTATACTAATGTTATTTCCTCCAGTCCTCTTCTCAGTCTTTGTAACTCCATTCTAGATACTATTCAGCTCTGAAGCTAGCAGGTTAAGTTAATGATAGTAAAAAACAAAGTATAGATAAGAAAAAAGAACTCAGATTGCAATAATCAACTTTTATAGATGTAAACTGCTTTATAATAGACTTTAAATGCAAATTTACTGGAATCTTATGTCATATATGGGCAACCCCTGATAAAATAGATGACTGATGAAAAATTTTTACCGAATTTATCACACTCTGGCTCACACTGACTTTGAATGATCAAACTCTCTGTGGAATTGCATTTTATATCTTCAATGTCAATTCCCTTCTTGGTAGTAAGATCTGAAAAGAAAAGGAAGTCTACTCTCAGCAAAAGTGCTATTATATTATTTTATTGTTAGTCTGTTCATTCCTCTCTGACAATGTGAAGGTTGGAAGTGTAAAAACTACATTCATTCATTAAAGTGACTTATTCATTTCAATATTATTAACAGTTTTATGTCCTACTAACATAGTACCCCATGAATTACCCTGCAATTAAAAAAAAAGATTTTTCACTTTTTTTGAGTAATTTTTTAAATTGAGGCAATACTGGTTAACAACACTGTATGATTCTGAGGTACACCTCTTCAGAGATATGTTACTGCACAGCACTGTCCATAAGGCATCCATAATCCTACCATACTCTGTTAGGCCTTCTCTTTGCTTCCTCCATACTTTCTCCCACAGTAGCCTCAATTTTACAATCAGATTTCTAGGGTTTATTTGTTTTTTTATGTTCCTTGGTTTTGATTACTTATATTCTACATGAGTGAAATCATCCAGTATGTGTCTTTCCCCTCCTTACTTATTTCACTTAGCATAATCCCTCTAATTCCAGCTGTGTTGTTGCAAATATAAGATTTCATCTTTTTTTTCTTAAATGAGTAGTATTCCATTGTATGTATACACATGCATACACACACACATATATACAAACCATATCTTCCTAATCTATTCATCTGAATCTGGGCACTTAAGTTGTTTTCATACTTTAGTGATTTAAAGAGTGCTGCAATGTACTTAAGAGCACATCTATCCCCTTCAATTAGTGTCTTCCACCCTACAGTTTTTAGCTCTACTATATTCTTAAGGTCTGGTATGAGTCTGTTCCACTTACTGCTTTGACTTATAGGAGGATCAATAAGTCACTTGATTTAGTCTTATCTGCAAAAATTCCTTCAAATCTTTGTTTCAATCATGACAAATATCCCTGTTCTCAATGTACATCACAAATACCCTTTCATTCCTCCCTAATATTACCTTTGCTCATTTCCACTGAATTTTTGAAGGTGAAGTCAAATATTTGTACTCAAGTTGTCATTAAAACATATTTACTGGGCTCTCCCTGGTGGTGTAGCGGGTTAAAACACAGCACAAAGATGTTTTAGCCACTTCAGCATGAGTTCCATCCGGCCCCAGAGTGACCCACATGACGTGGAAGACCTCTCCTGACCTGCCTGCTGCTCCCCTCAGCAGTGGGGAAGGTCTGTTCTGCTCCCCACTCTGTCTCTGCAAAGACTCTCACTGTCCCTGTACCTATGGCCTGTACCCCAGTTCTGTATGCATAAATAAATAAATCTTAAAAAAAAAACATTCACTAAGTTTAACTGGGGAAACAGCTTCTAAATTGTAGGTTGTAACTCTCAGAGTCATCTGATTCCATGAATCATCACATTACTCTGAGCTCATACATAACTAAAGTCAGAATAAAAGTTGCTAGTATATAAGAAAAAGTTCTTTAAAAAATAATAGAGTAACAGGTGCTAGAGCTTTATCTATGTACTCATCTTAACATGGTTAGATTAATCTCAGGAGACACTCAAAGCTTGCAAATGCATTAAGAGACAATGAGAAGAACATGGCATTGTCATGACATGTACAATGCAATCTGTAGAACACAAATCTGAAAGTGCAGGAAAAAAGTTTAAGAAGCAAGCATTTTTATACATGCTATTAAATAATTTTTACAAATCACAAATTTAAAATTATTTCTTACCTCTTTTGAAAAGTTTTTCATTTTCATCTACATAATTTATTATTTCTGGCATTAAGTTTAATGATTCCTTCAGCTCTGACAGAGAAGGAATACCAGTTTCTTGTTTGAGACTTGGAGGTATTAAGAATTCACACTCGAGCAAATGTGATGGCTAAAACAATAGGCAAACACAAGTTTGTTGGGATGTTTCAAAAGAAATGTTTCTGAATTTATATACAGATCTATTTTCTTAATGAGTATACCAAGTTTTAAAGTAAACCCACACTAAAAAATTTCAATGCCATGCATACCCTTAAAAAGGCAAGTGTAGGCCCTCCCTGGTGGCGCAGCGGGTTAAAAGCACTGCACTGAGAAACTAAAGCCACTTCCGCATGAGTTCGATTCCCGCCTGCCCCGGAGGTGACCACATGGCGTGGCAGACCTCTCCTGACCTGCCCACTGCTCCCCTCAGCAGTATACTTCGTAGATCTGCCTGTTCTGCTCCCCACTCTGTCTCTGGTGAAGTCTCTTACCGCCCCTGAGCCTCTGGCCTGTATCCCAGCACTGTATGCACAAATAAATAAATCTTAAAAAAAAAAAAAAAAAGGCAAGTGTAGGGCCCTCCCTGTAGCACAGTGGGTTAAAGCACAGAACTACGAAGCTAAAGCTACTTCAGCTGATGTGCTCAATCCCCGGCCCCTGAGGTGATCAACATGGCGTGGCATACCTCTCCTGACCGGCTAACTGCCACCTCCGCAGTGTATTCCAGTTAATCTGCCTGTTCTGTTCCCCACTCTGTCTCTGGTGAATCCTCTCACTGCCCCTGCACTTCCAGCCTATACCCCAGTTCTGTATGCATAAATAAATCTTTTTTTTTTTTTAAAAAAAAAGGAAGTGTAGTAGCCAAAAATATATTACATTACAAGCAATGTACTCTTAATATCCCGTATGGTCCTGGTTATTTGTTAATGATATGCAATAATAACTTCTTTGGGTGCAGAAATAACTTCTTTGGGTTAGTAATAAATAAGTCCTGGTGAGTGGGAAGAAATGAAAAGGACAGATGAAAAGGAATAGATATTTATTGTACTCCACTGAATTTGTTTCTCTTTTATTCCTGCAGAAATGAATTCCTTAACAAATGAGACTATGTGCATAACCCTCACAGTTAATGGGGGAAAAAGGAAAGGAGAGAAAAGGGGATAATAGGTTAATAAATGAGTGTTAAAATGGGAAATTATAAGCGATTTAAGTGCCTTACGATCATTGTACATACACACATACATACATGAAATATTTTAAGAAAAGCCCCACATACAAAACATCTTGAGTTGTCTTGAAAACATTTTTTAAGTAACTTTAAAATGCATCTAATCTTTACAGGTCTTGATTTTTGAGTTTGTTAAATACCAAAAAGTTATTGGTACTCTCAACTGCTAGAATGCTTTACATACTAAAATGTACTATCACTATTCTGTGCAATTGGAGCCGAAATTGACAAGTTTGATCTTTAATATGCAAAGATCCTATCTTCTTATTAATCACTGGCAGGTATAATATGCAATCTCAGATCACCTTTGCTCTTATTCCTTCAATGAGATCACTTTTCTTTTAATTCAGGTACCATTTGTTTTGTATATAATCTACAAGCCAACATTTCTAGCTCCAGTCCTCAGCTTTTTACTTAGAACATTACTACTTAGTATCCAGACAAGGTATATAGGTTAAAATCATTGGGAGAGGTTTTTAATTTCCCTATACCTATGCTTCACACCAGGCCAATTAAATCAGAATATAGCTCGGCAGGATCCAGGCTTCAGTATTTTCTTACAACTCTCCAAGTAATTTTTCGTAGCCAATATTTACAACCACTGTCTTAGAAATAAATAGAACTACGTAATTGACACAATCAATTCATTATAAAGTCTTTTAAACTTGACAATGGGTAGATGGCCAATATATATTACTAAAATTTATAAAAGAATGCTTTGTTGGCTTTTTAAAAAGTATTACTGAAAACAAGTATTACAACTTCATTTAAACCTACTTTGTCTTCCAGTTTCTCCAGACAGAAGTTTTCTTTCTCCATGTAAATATCTTTTAGCACAAAATCTTTCAAATCGCCTTGAAAAGAGAAACATTCCCTTAATAAAGAAAACAAAGACTAAATTAGTGTTTACTATAGCAAGACACATACTAAATGTAGTCAATCAAAATGCATAGTACAATAAAAGTTGAGGTAAAACAATGATAAAATATTATTACTGATAAAATCTGGACTTGTGTACAAGTAAAGAGCATTTTCTCCTCATAAAAATATATACAATATGGGCATTAAGTACCTGGGAAGATCAGCCTCTGTGCAGATCTGTCCTTTGAAATCTAAAAGGGGGTCTTTCACCAAATATACTTTTAGCCTACTCAACAAAGTATGCACAGTTGGTAGGTGATTTTCATAGGCCATCGAATTATTTAAAAAAATTATTTCTTCATCATCAATAAAAAAATCTGTAATACAAATAAAATATAAAAATAAAAATATAAAAAAGTTAGAAAAAAAACTAAAACATTACAAAGGGATATAGATAGTCTTTGCCAAAAGTCATTAGAGTGGAGCTTTTTTAAAACTCATTTTTAATTCTTTAGTTCTTACTGTACTGTGCACATAAATAAAGCATGCAGGCCCTCCCTGGTGGTGCAGTGGGTTACAGCACAGCACTGTCAGCCAACCTGTAGCCACTGCAGCATGAGTTTGATCCCTGGTCAGAGAGGTGACCCACATGGTGTGGCGCACCCGCTGCTTCCCTCAATAATGTATTTCAGTCAGTCTGCCTGTACTGTTCCCCACTTTGTCTCTGGGGAATCCTCTCAACCCCTGCACCAGTGGCCTGTACCCTAGTTCTTGCATGCATAAATAAATAGATAAACAAAGCATGCACTGATACCTAAGTAAAAGTTCAATAAATTCTGAGCTCTACCTGGTGGTGTAACAGGTTAAGCAAACCATTATAAAGCCATCTGTAGCCACTGCAGCACGAGTTCAATCCCAGGCCAGGAAATTGACCCACATGGCACAGCAGACCTCTCTTGCCTCTCCCGTTGCTCCCCTCAGCACTGTACTCTGTCAATCTGCCCGTTTTGCTCCCTACTCTCTAATGAGTCCTCTCACCTCTGCATCTCTGGCCTGTACCCAGTTTTTGCATGCATAAATAAAGGTTTTTTAAAAAGTTCAATAAATTGTTTAGTATACTGAGTAGTAACCAAATATCCAGAAAGAATTTTAGTGGCTTTCTTTTCAATAGAGACTATTTTAAGTAATGGAGGAAAAGATCTCATGAATTACCCCTGGCTTCAAAGTAGCCATAGCCAGGTTAGCCTAAGCAAAACTGAAGAACAAAAGCATTAACTTTTACTGGTTCTAGTTTTTAATCCCCTGTGATATTTTACATTTTTAAAATATAATAGTCTGGAAATTTATATATTTTTTCATATCTTTTATGCCATCAATTTATTTATGCCTATAATTAATAGGTTCCAACAGCTCAGGTTCCCTTCCATGGGGAAGAAGCACATACAGAGAGTGCTTCTCTGGGTCGAAGAGGCAGGTGCTCTAATCGAACCCAAGTATCTTTCCTTTTGGCTTCTTTTTGTTTCCCTATCATTTCCTTCATGTGTTTCCGGAAGCTATCTTGGCTGTGAAAGTGCTTAATATGCTCAATAACATTTATTCTACTGTCACGAATCTTTTACTTGCTTCATGCTGGGCAATATTGTAGACTGCTCCAATTGTGCCATGTTAACATTTGTGGGGCATTCCTTTTTGAATAATGCCTATCCCCTTGCCTATAAGTCTGTATGTATGTAGCCAAAGGAACAATTCCCTGTATTCCAAAATGCCTAGACAATCTATAGCGGGGGTCTCTCCTTTGTAAGGAATGAAGTTTGTCTACAAAACCTACAAAATGAAACCAACTCTAATTCCACTACATTAAAGTTATTCAAGATGGTTGTCATAAAGTTAATTACAATGAAAGTTCTAAAGCAAAGTATTTTTTTTTTTAAAGATTTTTTTATTTGTTCATACAGAACTGGGCAGAGGCTCAGGGGCAGCGAGAGGCTTCACCAGAGACAGAGTGGGGAGCAGAACAGGCAGATCGACGAAGTACACTGCTGAGGGGAGCAGTGGGCGGGTCAGGAGAGGTCTGCCACGCCATGTGGTCACCTCCGGGGCAGGCGGGAGTCGAACTCATGAGGAAGTGGCTTTAGCTTCTCAGTGCTGTGCATTTACCCGCTGCGCCACCAGGGAGGGCCTAAAGCAAAGTATTTTATACAGTAGAAAACACTACTGCTAAACAGTTAATTGTTGGAATAATTGCTCCTCTCTATCCCCACCCTACCATGTTCATGTTTGGATTACTTCAGCTCTCAGCTGTGTCAATAATTTAACAGTTGCTGAGCTAAAGAGGGAGCAAAAAACTGACCCCCATTTTTCAAAAAGATCCTGGGAGGAAAGGGAAATTTAAGTTCACATGAAACACTACTCAGAAAGTCAAATTCCCAAAAGCAAAAGCCACATTGTTCTGGGCAGTGGAATGGCATGAGAGGAACAGCATGGCATGATGTCTTCCATGACCAATCACATCTAAAACACTTGTATTTATACACAGATGGTATAAAGTAGGGAGCCGGGAACATCCCTTTGCCTGGTGCTAACATGAAATGCCAAGGGAGAACCTATAAAATAGTCCCCTGAAAGATTATTTATCTGAATCTATCAAGTTCCTGATACTCTTGAGGTCAGGCATTTCCCCTGATAAATTTGGCACACTTTTATACACCAAAGAAAACTAGTCAATTTCATGTCAAAGCAGAGCTTATCTGAGACCAACATTTGAAGATGGTTCATTCATACGTCTATTCTGTAAATACTAATAAAGTTTTATTAATAGTAACCCAAGCAGCAGTAACTTATGTATCTAACTCCAACTTCCACTTCCAAACACAGACTTCCTACATATAGACTCATCGTAGCATTTCTGGGAACAGTGCAGCCTGTATCAGGTGAGGGGCCTTGTTTCCAAACTCTCCTTTTCTGATGGAACCACTTGAGGGCAGCATTACACCACAAGCAAAGTTCTTGATAGCAATCTTTTACAAAAAGTCTTTTATCAAGGGAACTACTTTCTTACATTCTTTTTGTATAGGCACCATTCCCTGGAAGTCTTATTTTAATAAAGCTATTACAATACAACTATGAGAACACTGTTTCCCTCTATTGTAGAGGATTGTTAAATTGTCATGAGGAAACACAGTTTGTCTAGTTTCTACAAAAAGCATCAGAAAAAAAGAAGTTTACTGATAAGAAAGAAGCAAGTCTTTTTCTTTGCAGAAGATAATGTTTTTGGTCTACCTACAGAACCTGTGATGACTAAATGAAAATAAAGTAGTTCACTAAATTATTTGATAGGAAACATAAGATCAATGGTTTTCAAATACACATAAAATCTAATTAAAAGATAATGGAAAAAAACATATAACCAAATATTAATGAATAAGCATAACAAAAATGTGCAGAAAATATATGGAAGAAACCATAAACTTTAATGGGGAATCACTTAAAAAAATATTTTAAAAAAAGACAAGATGGCCCTCCCTGGTGGCGCAGTGGGTTTAAAGCACAGCACTGAGAATCTAAAGCCACTTCCACATGAGTTCGATTCCCGCCTGCCCTGGAGGTGACCAATTGGCGCGGCAGACCTCTCCTGACCCACCCGCTGCTCCCCTCAGCAGTGTACTTCGTCTATCTGCCTGTTCTGCTCCCCACTCTGTCTCTGATGAAGCCTCTCACCACCCCTGAGCCTCTGGCCTATATCCCAGTTCTGTATGAACAAAAAATAAATCTTTTAAAAAAACCAAGATAAAACATTTTCTTTGCTAGAAAGATTATGAGAAAAACATTTCAAAACTCCAAATAACAATTCATTTTCTTAAAAGATGTCATGGAATTTCAAAAAACTGATTACAAAGTAAACTGGAAGAATGGAAAAACGATATGAGAAAAGGCAAAAATGACAAAAAAAAGAGGTCATTAAAACATGTACTTATTTATTAAATACTTAAAACTATGTAATACTGACACAATAAACAAATCAATAGAAAATAAAATATCCACGAACTCTAATGTGGACAAGGATTTGGCAGATGATTTAAGTGGCATTTCTAATCAATGGGGAAAGGAAATAATATTGGGACAACTGCCAAAACATTTGGGAAAAAATGCTTTTTATTCTCACTTTTAAACAACTATGCAGCTGCATGGATGGAGCTCTAAGGGATTATGCTAAGTGATTAAGTAAGGAAATACCAGATGGTGTCACTTAGATATGGATTATAGAAAACTCAAACAAGTGGTTAGACAAAGATAGACATTAAAACCAACCCCTGAAAGCTGACCGTGGAACAGGTATCCAGAGTGGGAGGGGTGGAAAGGATGGTGAAAAAGTACATAATATAATAGTAAAACATTAAGGTATTTCTTCTATGGTTGAGAGCAAGGATCACAACTATTACTGCTTTTACTGAACAGCAACTGAAGGTCCTAGTTAGCATAGTAAGGCAAAAAAGATACCATGCTGTAAAGGAAGAAATAAATAGAAAGCCAATGAAATCACTATCTTGAAGAGATACCTGCCCCCACCCCATGTTCACTATATCATTTTCACAATAGCCAAGGTATGAGAACAATTAATATAAATGTGACACACACATATATATACACAAGGACATTGTTCAGCCTTAAAAAAAAAATACCCATTTGTGATATGGATAAAACTGGAAGGCATTAAGTTAAGTGAAATACGGGAGACAGAGAACAACAAACACTACACAACATCACTTATTTGTGAAACCTTGAAAAGAAAAACAGTGAAACACAAGGAAACAGCCAGTAGAATGGTTATCAGGAGCTGGTGTTGGGATGTAAGAGAAATTGAAAAGGTTGGTAAAAGTTTACAAACTTCCAGTTAAAAAACTTCCAGTTAAAAGTCTGAGGAGTGAATGTATAACATGGTGACTATAATGGATACTAGAACATAAATGAAATTTGCTAAGAGAGGAAGCAGTACCTAAGAGTTCTCACCAAAAATAAATAAATAAATATATATGTATGAGGTGATGGATATGTTATACACCTTAAATACAATAAAATTTTGTTAACTATACCTCAATATAGCTGAAAAACAAACATGTAGATGGTTGATAAAGCCTGGGAATTGGTGCTTTTTATTTAAACCTCAGATGTCTGATACTCTAAACTGTACATGTACTTTATTAACAATAAGCTACATTTGCATTTACTTCTATATTTCAAAATATATTAATAAAATGGTTACATTTATTGACAAGCAATATGTGAGTATTATAGAAAAATTAGTATAAGAAAACAATAAAGGAAATAAATGTTTAAAATTAACCTATGGTTTAGTAATTAGCTATATTCTTATGAAACAAAGCAAATTTCTAGTATCAATTGAACATCAAAGTGTAATATGTCTTTTGATTTTGACAGTGAAAATTAAGTATCTACAAATCTAGCAATCAATATAACTGCAAACCAAGGAAATAAAATTGCAAATCTAAATTTATAAAGTGAAGTATAATGACAAGTTCCTTAAAGAAATATAAGATATATATAATTCATATATATTTTCATCAACAATATATTAGTAGTTAAAAGAGCTCCTAATGCTAGCTAATGATAATATGAAATTTGCCAATAGTAGCTTCCAGTTTGCTATTTTAATAGTAACGTAACATTTGGATAACATGTTTCTTACAGACAAATTCTATATACATAAATTAGTCCAAACAAAATTTTTAACAAGAAATTAGAAATAAATTTAATAACCTGCACAAAATTGTACCACTTTTAAGAGCAGATTTGGACTATGATCAAATCTGACTTTAGATTCAGGCTCTTATTAGTATATCATACTCTCAAGTTTAATCAGTCTCTCTCTCTTCCCTTCTACTCCTCACACAATAAGAAGGATTTAGTTTTATATTTATCATCACACCTATATGTCAACACTAAAAAATTTATACACAATTTGTATCTTGACATAAAAAGCAGTAAAAAAGCAAATTATTTTTCATATTCCAGCTGTAGCATATCCTAAATGACAGCAACAATTACATAAATCAAATTTAACTTTTTCAATTTAAAAAAGGGATAAATTATTATACATGTGAAATGGTAGTTCTAATTGAGTTTATATATTATTGAGACAATTCAATACCCTCTAATAAGGTGAGAAATTTGAAACAACATTTGGGTAAAATGTATTTTGAATTATTATTAAATAATGAAAATCTGTTAAAAAAAGATGAATTTCCTACTCAACATTCAATTATTCCATTTCTACTTTCACTTATAGCTTCATATAAATTAGATAAGACTGAAAATACCTGCATGTTTTAGAAAACTAAAAACAGCCATAATTTAAACTACAAAATTTAATGCAGTATCAGATTGCCATGTCATCAGATCTGTACCCAGATGTTAATATCAGTGTAGCAATATGTTATGAGTACCCAATGATCAAATCCCTGAAGCTATTTTGAAGCCCAGCATACTTAAAGCCCCCCTCAAAACTAAATTGCTAAAGGGGATTAATATGAAAGAGAACACATTTCCCTCAAGTGGTAAATAAAGCTTAGAATTATAATTTTGTCAAAGAATATTTTTAATAAAACAAAAATTTTAACCAATAAAAGAAAAGTCTCTGAGATGAAAATGTGTTGGTCAGAAGAAATGTTCAATAACAAGGGAAATAACAAATGTTTTACCTTGGTTCTGTGCTTGAAGTGCTGAACATTTTTCTGAACAGTTGACAAGTGTAAACTCTTCACTATAGTCCTTCTGGGTATAGATGCTGGCTTCCTCTATGTCAGTTTGGGAGTTTGGGTTTGAACTTGGAACAATTTCCTCAAATTCACAGTTAATCTGGGTCGTCAGTCCTGTGCCTGTTTGTCTATGATATAAAGATACTGATTTTATGTCTGTTCTATTGTAAAACCTCTTTATTAATGTTCATTGTAGAAAAATGACAAAATCCCGACAGAAAAATTAGCCACAGTCCCACCATTCAAGAGAAAAATTAAAACATTATGACATCCTGCTGTTATCAGAGTCTTATTTGTTTTGGGAAAACGTCAGCCCCACATGCTGGCACTGGGTGCAAAGTTTCAGTATGATCCCATTTACATCAAACGTCCAGGCAAAATCTAGAGATTCAGCAAGTAGACTAATGGTTGTCTATCAGAAAGAAGGGAAAGAATGGCGATTAACTGCTAACAGGTATAGTATTGCCTTCTGTGTTGATAAAAATGCTCTAAACTTGATTGTGGTGATGGTAGCACAACTCTGAACATACTAAAACCTGAACATTACTAACATACTAAACTCTGAACATTAAAAATGGCTGAATTATATGCATATAAATTATATCTCAATAAAGCTGTTATATAAACAGTGGTTTGAATTTCAGTTCCAACTATTCACTATTTGAGTAATCTTTGATAAATTACTTAATCTGAGTCTTAGTTTCTTATATGCAATATGGAGATAGTAATGACACCTCACATAGCTGTTAGGAGTTACACAGGAAACAGACATATGTGCAATGTCCTACATTCAACTACATTCACCTGGATGCAACAGAACAGAAGAGCAGAGAATACTGTCACATATTCTTTGTTTTGTTCTTTTTGGCCATGTGTTCTGTTCTGCAAGCTAGGAAGCTTATTGAATATTCTCCCTAATCTTTACCCAACTGTCCTAGCCTCTGTAATTTAATCACTTTGACCCCCACTTTAGCCTGTCCGTCAAGCTATCTTCATTTTTTTAAAGTGCTATTTACTACAATATGTATTTACTTATTAGAATTCAACCTATGCTGGCATTTTTAAAAACATTAGAATAGTTTTGTTGTTGTTAGTGTTCTGTTGCAAGTTGCATAGTTTCTACTTCAATAGCTAACTGAAGTAATTTATGCCCTGTTAGATTAGTGTGCAATTTGGTAAGAATAAATTTTTTAGAAACCCATGACAAAATGCCCATAAATATTAAAACACAGTACACTAAAAAGTAGTAAAACTAATATTAAAATTAGGTCTTAAAATAAATATGAGAGCTCTTAAAATCATTATTAAGGAGTAACAAAAAAAAAAAGGACAAGACAGTGAGATGAGAAAGAAATTCCAAGATTTAGAAAATCTAGATAGTGCTGATGAATAAAACTGCAGTTCCTGAACTATTTCAAATAAAATGTCAGTGTGGACAGTCTCTGTACATTCTGCTCAATTTTTCTGTGAACTAAAATTTCTCTTAAAAACAAGGTCTATCAAAAATTAAATTTTACTGCATGAGTTGAAAATGAAATTAATAATGACTTAAACACATATGAAAAATCTGGAGATTAAAGCTCTGACAATTTGTCAGGGACAGAGGTTTCTGTTGTTCCACTCTGCCATTCTTAGGTTTAGTTGGTCAGTACAGTCCAAAATGATGGAAGAAGTCATTATATCTGAACTGCAGCATCAGGAAGGACTAAAGGAGAAAAACATGCCTCTGCTTTTTAAGGACACATTTTAGTTGGTTACTTATTTCTCTCAAGTCAAACAGGAAAAACTTAAATTACTAAAACTTGAGTATGTGAATAATGACTAAATTCTTCCTGTATTTGATTAATACTCTTTGCAGAAAGTGAAGCAATAGACTAAATTATTTACATTTGCAATGATGGCCCTAAGCTGTGTGTAGATTAACAATGCAGAATGGGTTAACTGTTCATGTTATCCTCTGTGGTCCTATCCCTGACATTGTTCTTCCCACACTATGTTATAATTATTTATTTTAAATCTCTATTTCCCCATTTTCTTGTATTATTTCAGAGTAGAATTTTTTTGTCATTCATTTTTATAGCAAGTATTGAACACACAGGATATCCAGTAAATATGGGATGAATGACTGAAATAACAAATTATTTTCACAAAACAAGTTTGAAAGCCAGACTTAAATCTGCATTTATACTATACAGAAAAAACTTTTTTTAAAAAGTGTTTATGCATACAGAAATGGGGTACAGAAAAGAGGTGCAGGGGCAGTGTGAGGATTCACCAAAACAGAGTGGGGAGCAGAACAGGCAGATCAACAAAGTGCACTGATGAGGGGAGTAGCGGGAGAGACACTGGCAAGACAGCAGAGGTCTGCCACACCATGTGGATCACCTATGAGGCAGGGATCAAACTCGCACTGAAGCAGCCACAGCTTGGCTTGGCAGTGCAGGGCTCTAGCCCACTGAGCCACCAAGGAAGGCCCAAGACCATTTTTAATATAAAAGATTCTATAGCTATTTTCTATAGAAAATTTATTAACTGATTAAAAACATAATACCACACTTGCTATATTTCTGTGATCTTTGGCAACACGAATACATGGATAACAGTTAATTTGTAGTAAGAGAGGGAATATTAAAAAGAAAATATAAATCACTTCTATTAATCATTCCTTTATAATTCACATTAGGAATTTTTCATCAAAGAAAAAAAGTTTTTAGGATAAAATGAAGGGATCTTCTACTGAAATAAATAAAAGATATGAAGAGGGCTTCCTGGAGGAACAAAGGGTTAAGCACAGCACTATGAAGCTATCCACGGCCACTGCAGGATGAGCTTGATCCTGGCTGGGGAGCTGACCCAGATGGCACAGCAGACCTCTCTCACCTGCTGCTCCTCTCAGCACTGTATTGCAGTACATCTGCCTGTTCTGTTCACCACTCTGTCTCTGGGGAATCCTCTCACTCCCATACCTCCTGCCTATACCCCAGTTCTTGTATGCATAAATAAACTTTAAAAAATATGAAGAAATAAAGAAATACTCCATGCTCATGGATTAAAAGAACACTGTTAAGATAGCCATATTATGTAAAGCAATCTACAAAGTGAACGCGATACCTATCAAAATTCCAGTATTTTTCAAGGAAACAGAATGAATAATTCCAAAATGTGTAGGCATACCCTAGTCTTAGACTAGCCAAAGCAATCCTGAGAGAAAAGAGTGGAGGTATCACGTTCCCTGACTTCAAACTACAAAGAGATAGTAATTAAACAGTATGGTATCAAAACAAAATAGAAACACATACCAATCAAATAGAACAGCAAGCCCCAAAATAAACCCACACAAACACAGTGTGTTAATCTATGAGAAAGGAGGAAGCTATACAATGGAGAAAAGAAAAGAAGCCTCTTCAACAAACAGTACTGAGACACTTGGACAGCTACATGCAAAAAATGAAATTTTATCATTTACTCCATACACAAAAATTAATTCACAATGGATTAAGGTGTGGATATAAGATCTGAACCCATAATACACACAGAAGAAAACGGCAATGCACTCTTGCATGTCAACCTCAGAGACATATTTGGTGACCCATCTCCAACAGCAAAGGAAACAAAAGCAAAAATAAACAAACTAGACTATATTAAACTACAAAGCTTCTGTACAGCAAAAGAAATCAAGATAAAAACAAGTGGCAAACCATGAATTGAAAGAAATATTTGCATACCACATGCCAGACAAGGGGTTAGTTTCCAAGATAAATAAATAATTTATAGAACCAAACAACAACAGAACAAATAATTCAATCGGAAAATGGCAAAGACCTAAACAGACAGCCTTCCAAAGAACACAAGACACATGAAAAACATTCAACATCACTTATTATAAAATATCCTCCATCTTATTGTAAGATACAATGAGATATTGCTCTTTATCAAAAAGGCTGGAAACAAATGTTGATTGTGGAGGAAAAGGAACTCATTTACTTTTGGTGGGAATGTAAACCAATGCAACCTCTATGGAAACAGTATTTTTAAAAAAAAATAGAAATAGAAATATGTAATGTAACAATATCACTATTGGGTATTTTTCTGAAGAATATAACACAAATACAAGAAGACTTGCACTCCTATCTTCATGCAGTATTATTCACAATAGCCAAAGCATGGAATCAACCAAATACCCATCAATAGCCTGCTAGATAAAGAAGGTGGTGGTACATATACTTAATGAACTACTATTCAGCTATTTAAAAAGATAAAACAGTACCTTTCAGGACATTATGGATGGATCTTGCGGTGACTATGTTAAGTGAAATAAGTCAAAAAGTGAAAAACAATGACCATATGATTGTTCTCAGTTGTGGACTATAAGTAACTGAAAAAAAAACAACGAAATCAACTAAGACTCTTTGAAAATGGTGGTGGTTACCATATGGAAGGCAGGGAGAGAGAAGGGTACTGAAGTGTAAGGTTCCTTGGTGGAGATCATGGGAAGTATCTGTAGATATTGAGGTGTGAAGTTATACGACCAAACTTTGATATTTATGCAAATGAATGGCAAACAAACATTTGATGGGAAAAATAAAGGAAAATTTTCTCTTCTGTCTAGAGAATTTACCATTTATCTTCTAGATGTAAAGGAGAAATGAGGTTAAAGATACATACTTTTCAAGAAAATCCTCCAAAAAGAGACTTGCTTTCCATTCATCCAAGACTGAGATATCAGTCATTCCATAAACTGAAACAGCTGAGGCTAGAAAGAAAAATGTAAGTTTCTAGAGTTGTCTTTAACAATTAATATAAGGATGCCAAACATTAATCTTTTACACAATGGCATTATCTTTATTTCTTTGCAAATGTAGTTTTTTCCAAAGTGATATCAGATATTTGAGCAATCATTCTTGTCATTACAAGCCCTGCCCCCAATCAACCAGTCAAAACAAAATCATCTGAATACATCTTTATTTTTAGTCTCTCTTTTGCTTACATAGCACTACCACCTCAGACAGTCCTGTCCAATAGCTCATGTTGCTCCTTAAAGACCCTTTATTAATCAGTCCACCTCACTGTGATATATTCCTCTCGAAGCACCATAATAAATATATCAGTAGCACTTACTCTGATGAACTCCAGAATCATTTAAAAACTACACACAGTCATATTGGAAATGTTATGCATCCATAGCTTGTCTCCCAAATTAGACCTTAGGTTCTTTAAGGAGAGGGACCAGGCCCTCCCTGGTGGCGCAGCGAGTTAAAACACAGCACTAAGAAGCTTAAGCCACTTCCGCATGAGTTCAATTCCTGCCTGCCCCAGAGGTCGGGGCAGACCTCTCCTGACCTGCCCGCTGCTCCCCTCAGCAGTGTGCTTCGACCATCTGCCTGTTCTGCTCCCTGCTCTGTCTCTGGTGAATCCTCTCACCCTCCGCATCTCTGGCCTGTACCCCAGTTCTGTATGAATAAATAAATCTTAAAAAAAATAAATAAAAAATAAGGAGAGGGACCATCTTATCTATTAGTGTCCAAAGAAGCCACTGAGTAAAGAAATCACTGATAATAATAGCTGACATGAATTTTTATTAGCTTCCTACTTTGAACAAATCACTTAATTCCTAACTCTATGCCTCACTGAAAAATATATAAGCTTAGTGGCTATGAGCACAGGTTCTGGGGCAGGAGGAAGGCTAGGGTTGAGGACAGGGTGGGAAGAGAGCACAAAGGACTGTGATGGAGGACTCTGGGTGTATTATGGTGACTACACCTGAGGCGGGACGTCCCATCGATCCAAAACATAACAAGGTTGTAAAATAATGATACTTTCATTAAAAAAGAATCACCCTACACAGATTTTAATACTTACATTGGTACTTAATAACAGTATAATTTGGGATAAATGTCTTAATGTCTTCGTACCTCAATTCCCTCATATACATGTTAAGAGTAAATCTTTTCACAGAGCTGTTACATGGAGTAAATGTGACGGAACATGCAAATTGCTTAAAATAGTGTCTGGCAACCAGTAAATGCCTAATTAAATTTGGCTGTTTTTGCTGTTATTTCAAAAAAGAAAAGGAAAACAGCATGAAATGATAAACCTGTTTTTTCCTTTTGTACTTTTAGAGAAGCAGTTAGATGAAAGCTTATTATTTATATATTTCCAATCTCAGTGATATCCATTTTTACAATAATCATTATATTCCCTCAGGTCAATTTTTGAAAAACATCAATTATGTTATGTTACTCTCATCCTTAAAAATGCTCAATGACTTCCCACATCAAACAAAAAAATTATTAAACTCCATACTACAAAGTTTCATATTATTCAGAAACTACCTACTTCTCAGGTCTCTGCTTTTTAGTAACTGGTCACAATGGTCTAAAATCTAGTGCTTACCATGTCTATGCCATAATTAGGCACTTTGCACTTGCTTGAAATGGTTCTCCTAGTTCTCTTTTTGTGAGTGTTGTCTCTTCATCATTCAGTACTCAACTGAAATGGCTACCTCTTCATAGAGTTCTTTATCTAATCACCTTTCTAACCACTACTCCTGAAATTCCCTATCCCATTTGTCAATACATTTCTCTATACAACTATACAATTTTAGTTTATATACTTAGTAGCTTTATTAGTGCATCCTCGTTACCAGTCTAGAGCCCACTAAGTGTAGAGAGTACATCTTTGTCTTACAGGATAACATCACTCTTGGCACCTGCAACAGTGCCTGGCTAGATAAATGTTGCTAACTGACTTAACTCCTCCATGAAAACTAATCTTTCTTTTTTGTTTTTTATTTAGGAAACATTGGTTTTCAACACTAAATGTTGGTTGTCAACATCCTTGTTCAGGGAAATAGGTTCACCTCTCCTCAGATGCACCCAGAGTTCTTTACCATAATCCATTAAGTCCCCTCCTACTGGCTATACCTTCCTTAAGTTCACAGCATGGTAAAAGAAAAAAATAATGATTTTTACATATATAATTTCAAAATTATTTTGTATATCATTACAACTTACAATAGTCCTCATACAGTTGAGTAGAATCCTGTTACAGTACATTTACAATTGGAATATGGTAAGACTTGCCTTATTTTTTCTGTTCATATCTAGTATAAGCTTTCCAATTCTTTATTACCTAAACTGTCACAAAAATAGTGACTTGTAAACATCTTGGAATTCTGATATGAATAAATGCCATGTGTTTTTATTCAATGAGGAAAGCACTGCATTTTCTTAATAATTTCTAACATAATTTTTAAAATAGATTTTTGAGAAATAAAGAATATACCTCTTGTCCATGGCTTCCTATATTTAATAATGCTTGTATAATTTTCATCTTGATATAAACATGAAGGTATCCGAAGTAAAAAAGCATCTACACAAAGCTTCTTTTTAATTGTATACTGTGTAAGAAAGTAAAATCTTTTAATGTATTTAATGTCTCTCAATATTCAAAACATTTAACTTTTTTATTCTCTTAAATCTGTCTTATTTTTATTCAACACTGTTGTGATTAATATTACAAAACTTCTTTTCTAAAATTTGCCATTGATTAGTATTATATTTGTATTTTATCATGGGGTATGGTACAGCAGAAGAAACTAAGATACTGTGGGCAAAGTTAAAAGTTTGAGAATGTCTAATTTTGGGAATGGTCAATAAATTCATAAATATTTTTGTGTAACAATGACCCTTATTCCTTACTATGTATATGTTATAATGACACATTTGTTTCCCTAAGTTACAGGGTACAATAAAACCTGGAGGTGCTTATATGTCTTATTTCCTGCAAAATGTAACAGTTTTAGTTACATTGGAGTAATTTTTTTCCTCAGTATTTGGGGTCAATTTATAAAGAAAACCAAAATTTAACTTGTCAATTAAGATTATAAGAATAATAAGCAACTGTATGACATTTACTCTATGTTAACAATGTGCCTGGCTTGAGTTTCAGCTTTGTCCCAGGTATTTAGTTTCTTCAGACATGTAATTTCTACTATAAAAGGCATAACAGTATCTATCTTGTGAAGTAATGATGGACACATAATCCATTAAAAGAGCAAAGTATCTGGTCCTTCGTAAGTGGTCAAGACACACTGTTACTGTTATTTTATCATTTAAAAAACTGGGATTGTTCTTTGTCTCATTCTATTAAAGAATGACAAATTCAAGATTATTCATAAAAGTAGCCAAACTTGCAAGAATTTTTTTTTCTCCTGACAGCTTCAAATTCAAATTGTCAATTATTTTCTTCTAAAAGTGTTTTAAGTTTTAAGGCATATTAAAAGTGGGCATTAGGGTGATCTGGTGATGGGATGTCCAAAGGGATTACAACTGAGATGGAAAAGGGCACAAAATGATGTAAAAAAAAAAAAAAAAAACCTATTATATTATTCATTAAAAAAAGTGGGTATTAAATGAATCTCAAAGTAATTAGGCTAAAGATTAATATAAGAACCATTGCAAAATTACCATAATAATATAGTGAATACAGATAACACTTTTTATCTCATAACTATTAGTACATGGAAGGTGATAAAATAACATGCTACCTCATATAAATAGTCTATTGCACAATATTTGAGGGCTGAAAACATCTTTCTTTGAGAGCATTACAAATTTCAACACCTGGGAATATAAAATTAAAATTGTTGGTAAATAGCAAAGTTAGGAGCAGAAAATCACTCAATTACAAAACTATAGTTCATGATAAAAAGTAATGATAGGGCCCTCCCTGGTGGCGCAGTGGGTTAAAGCACTACACTAAGAAGCTTAAGCCACTTCCCTATGAGTTCGATCCCTACCTGCCCGGGAGGAGATCCACATGGCCGGGCAGACCCCTCCTGACCCGCCCCGCTGCTCCCCTCAGCAGTGTACCTCGTAGATCTGCCTGTTCTGCTCCCCACTCTGTCCCTGGTGAATCCTCTCACCCTCCGCATCTCTGGCCTGTACCCCAGTTCTGTATGAATAAATAATTCTTAAAAAAAAAAAGTAATGATAAACAGTACACTATGATTTAAATATAATGAAAATAACGTTGATATAAAATTATCTGTAGTATGGTACTTAAGATACACATATTCTCAAAATTTCTTCTGTCAATTTGATTTCATGCATAACAGGTACCTGAATCCAAATTATAGTGGTGGATGTATAGGATGACAGATAAACTAGAGGCACAAAGGTTAAATCACTAAGAGGCTATCTGAAGCCACTGGCCCAGAGCTTGACCTTGGACCAGGGTGGGGACCCACAGGGCGCAGCAGACCTCTCCTGTGTCCCCCACTGCTTCCCTCAACTGTGTTATTTCAGTTGATCCCCGTTCTATTCCCATCTGGTGAAACTTCTCACCACCACCCCCCCACACACACACACACACATATACCTCTGGCCCATACCCCAGTTCTTATATGCATAAATAAATAAATCTTTTTAAGAAATTAAATTAAAAGAGAAAACAAGTATAAGGTGGGAAACAAACAAAATCAGTTACAGATTAGGTGTTTTAAATTGCCAACTTCTAAATTGCAGCAATTCCTTAAGTATTTTTCCTTACCTGTTTGTAAAGATTTTGTTTCTCCTGTGCTATCTTCTAGCTAGTATCTATGAGGTCAAAACAGAAAACTAATGGTTATTATTAGGGCAGGCTCTTATGCGCAAGGCCAGGGAAGTAAATTTTCCCAAGATACTCCCCTCCCGCCAGCTTTACTGAGGTACAAGTGACAAATAAACAT